TGAGTGGTGAGTGAGTGTATGAGTGAGTGAGTGTGTGAGTGAGTGGTGAGTGAGTGTATGAGTGAGTGTATGAGTGAGTGAGTGTATGAGTGAGTGTATGAGTGAGTGTATGAGTGAGTGTATGAGTGAGTGTATGAGTGAGTGGTGAGTGAGTGTATGAGTGAGTGAGTGTGTGAGTGGTGAGTGAGTGAGTGAGTGTATGAGTGAGTGAGTGTATGAGTGAGTGTATGAGTGAGTGTATGAGTGAGTGTATGAGTGAGTGTATGAGTGAGTGTATGAGTGAGTGTATGAGTGAGTGTATGAGTGAGTGGTAAGTGAGTGTATGAGTGAGTGTGTGTATGAGTGTGTGTATGAGTGAGTGTATGTATGAGTGTATGAGTGAGTGTATGAGTGAGTGAGTGTATGTATGAGTGAGTGAGTGTATGTATGAGTGAGTGTGTGTATGTATGATTGTATGAGTGAGTGAGTGTATGAGTGTATGAGTGAGTGAGTGAGTGTATGAGTGAGTGTATGAGTGTATGAGTGAGTGTATGAGTGAGTGTATGAGTGAGTGTATGAGTGAGTGAGTGTATGAGTGAGTGTATGAGTGAGTGAGTGAGTGTATGAGTGTGTGAGTGAGTGAGTGTATGAGTGAGTGTATGAATGAGTGAGTAAGTGTATGAGTGAGTGAGTGTATGAGTGAGTGTATGAGTGAGTGGGTGTATGAGTGAGTAAGTGTATGAGTGAGTGAGTGTATGAGTGAGTGTATGAGTCAGTGTATGAGTGAGTGTATGAGTGAGTGAGTGTATTAGTGAGTGAGTGTATGAGTGAGTGAGTATGTATGAGTGAGTGAGTGTATGAGTGAGTGTATGAGTGAGTGTATGAGTGAGTGTATGAGTGAGTGTATGAGTGAGTGAGTATGTATGAGTGAGTGTGTGTATGTATGAGTGTATGAGTGAGTGAGTGAGTGTATGAGTGTGTGAGTGAGTGTATGAGTGTATGAGTGAGTGTATGAGTGTATGAGTAAGTGAGTGAGTGTGTGAGTGAGTGGTGAGTGAGTGAGTGTATGAGTGAGTTAGTGTATGAGTGAGTGAGTGTATAAGTGAGTCAGTGTATGAGTGAGTGGTGAGTGAGTGAGTGGTGAGTGTGTGTATGAGTGTGTATGAGTGAGTGGTGAGTGAGTGGTGAGTGTGTGGTGAGTGAGTGGTGAGTGATTGGTGAGTGTGTGATGAGTGAGTGTATAAGTGAGTGAGTGAGTGTATGAGTGAGTGTGTGTGTGAGTGAGTGTGTGTATGAGTGTGTATGAGTGAGTGGTGAGTGAGTGGTGAGCGAGTGGTGAGTGTATGAGTGAGTGTATGAGTGGTGAGTGTGTGTATGAGTGTGTATGAATGAGTGGTGAGTGGTGAGTGAGTGAGTGTATGAGTGAGTGAGTGTATGAGTGAGTGTATGAGTGAGTGTGTGTATGAGTGAGTGAGTGAGTGTATGAGTGAGTGAGTGTATAAGTGAGTGTATGAGTGAGTGTATGAGTGTATGAGTGAGTGAGTGTATGAGTGAGTGAGTGTGTGAGTGTATGAGTGTATGAGTGAGTGAGTGTATGAGTGAGTGAGTATATGAGTGAGTGTATGAGTGAGTGAGTGTATGAGTGAGTGAATGAGTGAGTGTATGAGTGAGTGTATCAGTGAGTGAGTGTGTGTATGAGTGAGTGTATCAGTGAGTGTATGAGTGTGTATGAGTGGTGAGTGAGTGAGTGGTGAGTGAGTGGTGAGTGAGTGTATGAGTGAGTGTAGGAGTGAGTGTATGAGTGAGTGTATGAGTGAGTGAGTGTATGAGTGAGTGTATGAGTGAGTGTATGAGTGGTGAGCGAATGGTGAGCGAGTGGTGAGTGAGTGGTGAGTGAGTGGTGAGTGAGTGGTGAGCGAGTGGTGAGTGAGTGGTGAGCAAGTGGTGAGTGAGTGGTGAGTGAGTGGTGAGTGAGTGTATGAGTGAGTGAGTGTATGAGTGAGTGAGTGTATGAGTGAGTGAGTGTGTGAGTGTATGAGTGTAGGAGTGAGTGAGTGAGTGTATGAGTGAGTGAGTGTATGAGTGAGTGAGTGTATGAGTGAGTGAGTGTGTGAGTGTATGAGTGTATGAGTGAGTGAGTGTATGAGTGAGTGAGTGTATGAGTGAGTGAGTGTATGAGTGAGTGAGTGTATGAGTGAGTGTATGAGTGAGTGTATCAGTGAGTGTATGAGTGTGTATGAGTGGTGAGTGAGTGGTGAGTGAGTGGTGAGTGAGTGTAGGAGTGAGTGTATGAGTGAGTGTAGGAGTGAGTGTATGAGTGAGTGTATGAGTGTGTATGAGTGGTGAGTGAGTGAGTGGTGAGTGAGTGGTGAGTGAGTGGTGAGCGAGTGGTGAGTGAGTGGTGAGCAAGTGGTGAGTGAGTGGTGAGTGAGTGGTGAGTGAGTGTATGAGTGAGTGAGTGTATGAGTGAGTGAGTGTATGAGTGAGTGAGTGTGTGAGTGTATGAGTGTAGGAGTGAGTGTATGAGTGAGTGTATGAGTGTGTATGAGTGGTGAGTGAGTGAGTGGTGAGTGAGTGGTGAGTGAGTGGTGAGCGAGTGGTGAGTGAGTGGTGAGCAAGTGGTGAGTGAGTGGTGAGTGAGTGGTGAGTGAGTGTATGAGTGAGTGAGTGTATGAGTGAGTGAGTGTATGAGTGAGTGAGTGTGTGAGTGTATGAGTGTAGGAGTGAGTGAGTGAGTGTATGAGTGAGTGAGTGTATGAGTGAGTGAGTGTATGAGTGAGTGAGTGTATGAGTGAGTGAGTGTGTGAGTGTATGAGTGTATGAGTGAGTGAGTGTATGAGTGAGTGAGTGTATGAGTGAGTGAGTGTATGAGTGAGTGAGTGTATGAGTGAGTGTATGAGTGAGTGAGTGTATGAGTGAGTGAGTGTATGAGTGAGTGAGTGTATGAGTGAGTGAGTGTGTGAGTGTATGAGTGTATGAGTGAGTGAGTGTATGAGTGAGTGAGTGTATGAGTGAGTGAGTGTATGAGTGAGTGTATGAGTGAGTGTATCAGTGAGTGTATGAGTGTGTATGAGTGGTGAGTGAGTGGTGAGTGAGTGGTGAGTGAGTGGTGAGTGAGTGTAGGAGTGAGTGTATGAGTGAGTGTGTGAGTGAGTGAGTGTATGAATGAGTGTATGAGTGAGTGTATGAGTGGTGAGTGAGTGGTGAGTGAGTGGTGAGTGAGTGTATGAGTGAGTGGTGAGTGAGTGTATGAGTGAGTGAGTGTGTGTATGAGTGTGTATGAGTGGTGAGTGAGTGGTGAGTGAGTGGTGAGTGAGTGGTGAGTGTATGAGTGAGTGTATGAGTGAGTGTATGAGTGAGTGGTGAGTGAGTGAGTGGTGAGTGTATGAGTGAGTGTATGAGTGGTGAGTGAGTGGTGAGTGTATGAGTGAGTGTATGAGTGAGTGTATGAGTGGTGAGCGAATGGTGAGCGAGTGGTGAGTGAGTGGTGAGTGAGTGGTGAGTGAGTGGTGAGCGAGTGGTGAGTGAGTGGTGAGCAAGTGGTGAGTGAGTGGTGAGTGAGTGGTGAGTGAGTGTATGAGTGAGTGTATGAGTGAGTGAGTGTATGAGTGAGTGAGTGTGTGAGTGTATGAGTGTAGGAGTGAGTGAGTGAGTGTATGAGTGAGTGAGTGTATGAGTGAGTGAGTGTATGAGTGAGTGAGTGTGTGAGTGTATGAGTGTATGAGTGAGTGAGTGTATGAGTGAGTGAGTGTATGAGTGAGTGAGTGTATGAGTGAGTGAGTGTATGAGTGAGTGTATGAGTGAGTGTATCAGTGAGTGTATGAGTGTGTATGAGTGGTGAGTGAGTGGTGAGTGAGTGGTGAGTGAGTGTAGGAGTGAGTGTATGAGTGAGTGTAGGAGTGAGTGTATGAGTGAGTGTATGAGTGAGTGAGTGTATGAGTGAGTGTATGAGTGGTGAGCGAGTGGTGAGTGAGTGGTGAGTGAGTGGTGAGTGAGTGGTGAGCGAGTGGTGAGTGAGTGGTGAGCGAGTGGTGAGTGAGTGGTGAGTGAGTGGTGAGTGAGTGTATGAGTGAGTGAGTGTATGAGTGAGTGAGTGAGTGTATGAGTGAGTGAGTGTGTGAGTGTATGAGTGTATGAGTGAGTGAGTGTATGAGTGAGTGAGTGTATGAGTGAGTGAGTGTATGAGTGAGTGAGTGTGTGAGTGTATGAGTGTATGAGTGAGTGAGTGTATGAGTGAGTGAGTGTATGAGTGAGTGAGTGTATGAGTGAGTGTATGAGTGAGTGTATCAGTGAGTGTATGAGTGTGTATGAGTGGTGAGTGAGTGGTGAGTGAGTGGTGAGTGAGTGGTGAGTGAGTGTAGGAGTGAGTGTATGAGTGAGTGTGTGAGTGAGTGAGTGTATGAATGAGTGTATGAGTGAGTGTATGAGTGGTGAGTGAGTGGTGAGTGAGTGGTGAGTGAGTGTATGAGTGAGTGGTGAGTGAGTGTATGAGTGAGTGAGTGTGTGTATGAGTGTGTATGAGTGGTGAGTGAGTGGTGAGTGAGTGGTGAGTGAGTGGTGAGTGTATGAGTGAGTGTATGAGTGAGTGTATGAGTGAGTGGTGAGTGAGTGAGTGAGTGGTGAGTGTATGAGTGAGTGTATGAGTGGTGAGTGAGTGGTGAGTGTATGAGTGAGTGTATGAGTGAGTGAGTGAGTGTGTGAGTGAGTGGTGAGTGAGTGGTGAGTGAGTGGTGAGTGAGTGAGTGTATGAGTATGTGTATGAGTGTGAGTGAGTGTATGAGTGTATGAGTGAGTGTATGAGTGAGTGAGTGTATGAGTGAGTGAGTGTATGAGTGAGTGGTGAGTGAGTGGTGAGTGAGTGGTGAGCGAGTGTATGAGTGAGTGAGTGTATGAGTGAGTGAGTGAGTGTATGAGTGAGTGGTGAGTGAGTGGTGAGTGAGTGGTGAGTGAGTGAGTGTATGAGTGAGTGTATGAGTGAGTGTATGAGTGAGTGGTGAGTGAGTGGTGAGTGAGTGGATGAGTGAGTGTATGAGTGAGTGAGTGTATGAGTGAGTGAGTGTATGAGTGAGTGAGTGTATGAGTGAGTGTATGAGTGAGTGAGTGTATGAGTGAGTGTATGAGTGTATGAGTGAGTGTATGAGTGAGTTTATGAGTGAGTGAGTGGTGAGTGAGTGGTGAGTGAGTGAGTGTATGAGTGAGTGTATGAGTGAGTGTATGAGTGAGTGTATGAGTGAGTGAGTGTATGAGTGAGTGAGTGTATCAGTGAGTGAGTGTATGAGTGAGTGAGTGAGTGTATGAGTGAGTGTATGAGTGAGTGTATGAGTGAGTGGTGAGTGAGTGGTGAGTGAGTGGTGAGTGAGTGAGTGTATGAGTGAGTGAGTGTATGAGTGAGTGTATGAGTGAGTGAGTGTATGAGTGAGTGAGTGTGTGAGTGGTGAGTGAGTGTGTGAGTGAGTGGTGAGTGAGTGGTGAGTGAGTGGTGAGTGAGTGGTGAGTGAGTGAGTGTATGAGTGGTGAGTGAGTGAGTGTATGAGTGAGTGTATGAGTGAGTGTATGAGTGAGTGAGTGAGTGGTGAGTGAGTGGTGAGTGAGTGGTGAGTGTATGAGTGAGTGAGTGAGTGTATGAGTGAGTGAGTGTATGAGTGAGTGAGTGTATGAGTGAGTGAGTGTGTGAGTGTATGAGTGTATGAGTGAGTGAGTGAGTGTATGAGTGAGTGTATGAGTGAGTGAGTGTATGAGTGAGTGAGTGTATGAGTGAGTGTATCAGTGAGTGTATGAGTGTGTATGAGTGGTGAGTGAGTGGTGAGTGAGTGGTGAGTGAGTGTAGGAGTGAGTGTATGAGTGAGTGTGTGAGTGAGTGAGTGAGTGTATGAGTGAGTGTATGAGTGAGTGTATGAGTGGTGAGTGAGTGGTGAGTGAGTGGTGAGTGAGTGGTGAGTGAGTGTATGAGTGAGTGAGTGTGTGTATGAGTGGTGAGTGAGTGGTGAGTGAGTGGTGAGTGAGTGGTGAGTGAGTGGTGAGTGTATGAGTGAGTGTATGAGTGAGTGTATGAGTGAGTGGTGAGTGAGTGAGTGAGTGGTGAGTGTATGAGTGAGTGTATGAGTGGTGAGTGAGTGGTGAGTGTATGAGTGAGTGTATGAGTGAGTGAGTGAGTGTGTGAGTGAGTGTGTGAGTGAGTGGTGAGTGAGTGGTGAGTGAGTGGTGAGTGAGTGAGTGTATGAGTATGTGTATGAGTGTGAGTGAGTGTATGAGTGTATGAGTGAGTGTATGAGTGAGTGTATGAGTGGTGAGTGAGTGGTGAGTGAGTGGTGAGTGAGTGTATGAGTGAGTGGTGAGTGAGTGTATGAGTGAGTGAGTGTGTGTATGAGTGGTGAGTGAGTGGTGAGTGAGTGGTGAGTGAGTGGTGAGTGAGTGGTGAGTGTATGAGTGAGTGTATGAGTGAGTGTATGAGTGAGTGGTGAGTGAGTGAGTGAGTGGTGAGTGTATGAGTGAGTGTATGAGTGGTGAGTGAGTGGTGAGTGTATGAGTGAGTGGTGAGTGAGTGAGTGTGTGAGTGAGTGTGTGAGTGAGTGGTGAGTGAGTGGTGAGTGAGTGGTGAGTGAGTGAGTGTATGAGTATGTGTATGAGTGTGAGTGAGTGTATGAGTGTATGAGTGAGTGTATGAGTGAGTGAGTGTATGAGTGAGTGAGTGAGTGTATGAGTGAGTGAGTGTATGAGTGAGTGGTGAGTGAGTGGTGAGTGAGTGGTGAGCGAGTGTATGAGTGAGTGAGTGTATGAGTGAGTGAGTGAGTGTATGAGTGAGTGGTGAGTGAGTGGTGAGTGAGTGGTGAGTGAGTGTATGAGTGAGTGAGTGTATGAGTGAGTGTATGAGTGAGTGTATGAGTGAGTGGTGAGTGAGTGGTGAGTGAGTGTATGAGTGAGTGTATGAGTGAGTGAGTGTGAGTGAGTGAGTGTATGAGTGAGTGAGTGTATGAGTGAGTGTATGAGTGAGTGAGTGTATGAGTGAGTGTATGAGTGTATGAGTGAGTGTATGAGTGAGTGTATGAGTGGTGAGTGAGTGTATGAGTGAGTGTATGAGTGAGTGAGTGGTGAGTGAGTGGTGAGTGAGTGAGTGTATGAGTGAGTGTATGAGTGAGTGTATGAGTGAGTGAGTGTATGAGTGAGTGAGTGTATGAGTGAGTGAGTGTATGAGTGAGTGAGTGAGTGTATGAGTGAGTGTATGAGTGAGTGTATGAGTGAGTGGTGAGCGAGTGGTGAGTGAGTGGTGAGTGAGTGGTGAGTGAGTGGTGAGTGTATGAGTGAGTGTATGAGTGAGTGTATGAGTGAGTGAGTGTATGAGTGAGTGAGTGTATGAGTGAGTGAGTGTATGAGTGAGTGTATGAGTGAGTGAGTGTATGAGTGAGTGAGTGTATGAGTGAGTGTATGAGTGAGTGAGTGTATGAGTGAGTGTATGAGTGAGTGTATGAGTGAGTGAGTGAGTGTATGAGTGAGTGAGTGAGTGGTGAGTGAGTGGTGAGTGAGTGGTGAGTGAGTGTATGAGTGAGTGAGTGTATGAGTGAGTGAGTGTATGAGTGAGTGGTGAGTGAGTGGTGAGTGAGTGGTGAGTGAGTGTATGAGTGAGTGTATGAGTGAGTGTATGAGTGAGTGTATGAGTGAGTGTATGAGTGAGTGAGTGTATGAGTGAGTGTATGAGTGAGTGAGTGGTGAGTGGTGAGTGAGTGTATGAGTGAGTGTATGAGTGAGTGTATGAGTTAGTGGTGAGTGAGTGAGTGAGTGGTGAGTGAGTGAGTGAGTGGTGAGTGAGTGAGTGGTGAGTGAGTGGTGAGTGAGTGGTGAGTGAGTGAGTGAGTGGTGAGTGAGTGAGTGGTGAGTGAGTGGTGAGTGAGTGGTGAGTGAGTGAGTGTATGAGTGAGTGTATGAGTGAGTGGTGAGTGTACGCTCACCTTTGAGGGCTACACGCGTTAGGTCGAGTGACTTCACCACCTCGTTAAGCCGGTCCCCAGATGCTTGGTCCTGAACTTCACTCAAATGGTGCTCCTCCAACTCCACGGGAACTGCAGCCGCCTGGTGGACACAGCACTCAGCTACCACCACCCCGCTCAGCTACCAACACTCAGCTACCACTCAGCTACCAACACTCAGCTACCAACACTCAGCTACCTACCACTCAAATGGTGCTCCTCCAACTCCACGGGAACTGCAGCCGCCTGGTGGACACAGCACTCAGCTACCACTCAGCTACCACCACTCAGCTACCACTCAGCTACCAACACTCAGCTACCACTCAGCTACCTACCACTCACCTACCACTCACACACACCACTCAGCTACCTACCACTCAGCTACCAACACTCAGCTACCACTCAGCTACCACCAACACTCAGCTACCACTCAGCTACCTACCACTCACCTACCACTCACACACACCACTCAGCTACCTACCACTCAGCTACCACTCAGCTACCTACCACTCACCTACCACTCACACACACCACTCAGCTACCACCACTCAGATACCACTCAGCTACCACCACCCCGCTCAGCTACCTACCACTCAGCTACCACTCAGCTACCACCAACACTCAGCTACTTACCACTCAGCTACCTACCACTCAAATGGTGCTCCTCCAACTCCACGGGAACTGCAGCCGCCTGGTGGACACAGCACTCAGCTACCACTCAGCTACCACCAACACTCAGCTACCACTCAGCTACCAACACTCAGCTACCAACACTCAGCTACCAACACTCAGCTACCAACACTCAGCTACCTACCACTCACCTACCACTCACACACACCACTCAGCTACCTACCACTCAGCTACCACCAACACTCAGCTACCTACCACTCAGCTACCACCACTCAGCTACCACTCAGCTACCAACACTCAGCTACCACTCAGCTACCTACCACTCACCTACCACTCACACACACCACTCAGCTACCACCACTCAGATACCACTCAGCTACCACCACCCCGCTCAGCTACCTACCACTCAGCTACCACTCAGCTACCACCAACACTCAGCTACCTACCACTCAGCTACCTACCACTCAAATGGTGCTCCTCCAACTCCACGGGAACTGCAGCCGCCTGGTGGACACAGCACTCAGCTACCACTCAGCTACCACCAACACTCAGCTACCACTCAGCTACCACTCAGCTACCAACACTCAGCTACCTACCACTCAAATGGTGCTCCTCCAACTCCACAGGAACTGCAGCCGCCTGGTGGACACAGCACTCAGCTACCTACCACTCAGCTACCACTCAGCTACCACCAACACTCAGCTACCTACCACTCAGCTACCTACCACTCAAATGGTGCTCCTCCAACTCCACGGGAACTGCAGCCGCCTGGTGGACACAGCACTCAGCTACCACTCAGCTACCACTCAGCTACCACTCAGCTACCAACACTCAGCTACCTACCACTCAAATGGTGCTCCTCCAACTCCACGGGAACTGCAGCCGCCTGGTGGACACAGCACTCAGCTACCACCACCCCGCTCAGCTACCACTCAGCTACCTACACTCAGCTACCACTCAGCTACCACCACCCCGCTCAGCTACCAACTACTCAGCTACCACTCAGCTACCTACCACTCACCTACCACTCACACACACCACTCAGCTACCTACCACTCAGCTACCTACCACTCAGCTACCAACACTCAGCTACCACCACCCCGCTCAGCTACCTACCACTCAGCTACCTACCACTCACATACCACTCAACTACCAACACTCAACTACCAACACTCAGCTACCAACACTCAGCTACCAACACTAAGATACCTACCACTCAGCTACCACTCAGCTACCACTCAGCTACCAACACTCAGCTACCTACCACTCAAATGGTGTTCCTCCAACTCCACGGGAACTGCAGCCGCCTGGTGGACACAGCACTCAGCTACCACTCAGCTACCACTCAGCTACCAACACTCAGCTACCACTCACACATACCACTCAGCTACCAACACTCAGATACCAACACTCAGCTACCAACACTCAGCTACCAACACTCAGATACCAACACTCAGCTACCAACACTCAGCTACCAACACTCAGATACCAACACTCAGCTACCAACACTCAGCTACCTACCACTCAGCTACCAACCACTCAGCTACCAACACTCAGCTACCTACCACTCAGCTACCACCACTCAGCTACCACCAACACTCAGCTACCTACACTCAGCTACCACTCAGCTACCAACACTCAGCTACCTACACTCAGCTACCACTCAGCTACCACCAACACTCAGCTACCACTCAGCTACCAACACTCAGCTACCACCAACACTCAGCTACCTAACACTCAGCTACCAACACTCAGCTACCACCACTCAGCTACCTACCACTCAGCTACCACCACTCAGCTACCAACACTCAGCTACCTACCACTCAGCTACCAACACTCAGCTACCAACACTCAGCTACCAACACTCAGCTACCTACACTCAGCTACCTACCACTCAGCTACCAACACTCAGCTACCAACACTCAGCTACCTACCACTCAGCTACCTACCACTCAGCTACCAACACTCAGCTACCAACACTCAGCTACCTACCACTCAGCTACCTACCACTCAGCTACCTACCACTCAGCTACCAACACTCAGCTACCAACACTCAGCTACCTACCACTCAGCTACCTACCACTCAGCTACCTACACTCAGCTACCACTCAGCTACCTACCACTCAGCTACCTACCACTCAGCTACCAACACTCAGCTACCTACCACTCAGCTACCAACACTCAGCTACCTACCACTGACAAAACACCACTCAGCTACCTACCACTCAGCTACCTACCACTCAGCTACCTACCACTCAGCTACCAACACTCAGCTACCAACACTCAGCTACCACTCAGCTACCTACCACTCAGCTACCACTCAGCTACCTACCACTCAGCTACCAACACTCAGCTACCTACCACTCAGCTACCTACACTCAGCTACCAACACTCAGCTACCAACACTCAGCTACCAACACTCAGCTACCTACCACTCAGCTACCAACACTCAGCTACCTACCACTCAGCTACCTACCACTCAGCTACCAACACTCAGCTACCAACACTCAGCTACCTACCACTCAGCTACCAACACTCAGCTACCTACACTCAGCTACCTACCACTCAGCTACCTACCACTCAGCTACCAACACTCACACACCACTCAGCTACCAACACTCAGCTACCTACCACTCAGCTACCAACACTCACACACCACTCAGCTACCACTCAGCTAACACTCAGCTACCACCACTCAGCTACCTACCACTCCCACATACCACTCAGCTACCTACCACTCAGCTACCTTCCACTCAGCTACCAACAATCAGCTACCAACACTCAGCTACCTACCACTCAGCTACCAACACTCAGCTACCACCACTCAGCTACCTACCACTCAGCTACCACTCAGCTACCACTCAACTACCAACAGTCAGCTACCATCACTCAGCTACCAACACTCAGCTACCTACCACTCAGCTACCTACCACTCAGATACCACCACTCAGCTACCTACCACTCAGCTACCACTCAGCTACCAACACTCAGCTACCTACACTCAGCTACCAACACTCAGCTACCTACACTCAGCTACCAACACTCAGCTACCTACACTCAGCTACCAACACTCAGCTACCAACACTCAGCTACCTACCACTCAGCTACCAACACTCAGCTACCAACACTCAGCTACCAACACTCAGCTACCACCAACACTCAGCTACCAACACTCAGCTACCTACCACTCAGCTACCACCACTCAGCTACCTACACTCAGCTACCAACACTCAGCTACCAACACTCAGCTACCTACCACTCAGCTACCAACACTCAGCTACCAACACTTAGCTACCTACCACTCAGCTACCAACACTCAGCTACCAACACTCAGCTACCTACACTCAGCTACCACTCAGCTACCACCACTCAGCTACCAACACTCAGCTACCAACACTCAGTTACCAACACTCAGCTACCTACCACTCAGCTACCAACACTCAGCTACCAACACTTAGCTACCTACCACTCAGCTACCAACACTCAGCTACCAACACTCAGCTACCTACCACTCAGCTACCAACACTCAGCTACCTACCACTCAGCTACCTACAACTCAGCTCCCTACCACTCAGCTACCTACCACTCCCACATACCACTCAGCTACCTACCACTCAGCTACCAACACTCAGCTACCTACCACTCCCACATACCACTCAGCTACCTACCACTCAGCTACCTACCACTCCCACATACCACTCAGCTACCTACACTCAGCTACCAACCACTCAGCTACCTACACTCAGCTACCAACACTCAGCTACCACTCAGCTACCTACCACTCAGCTACCAACACTCAGCTACCTACCACTGACATACCACCACTCAGCTACCATCACCCTGCTCAGCTACCACTCCCACATACCACTCAGCTACCAACACTCAGCTACCACTCAGCTACCTACCACTCACACATACCACTCAGCTACC